AATGGAATATAATACACTATATAAGATTTAGAAGTGACTGTATTTATTGTAATTAACAAGCAATTTAAAATAAGCACAATTTTGTACAGAAAATCTGAAAAATCTTTTTCTTTATTAACGCTCTGTAAGGACAATACGGTCTGGCAGACCTTTGTGTACGCTTTATTTTTAATATATTCTCTGATGTGAAAGATAGTTAAATATTAAACTATTAATTTTAGATTATTTTCTATTAATTTTTGTACATAAGTTGGCACCAAATTTTTCATATATATTTCACTAGTTTTGTTCTTTTTCCTATGGCACAAGGGAATTCTCAGGTCTGACTTGGCCATTTGAATATATACAATGTTGAGTTGCAGTAAATTATTGTATAGTAAAAATATTTATACATAATATACAAAAAAAAAAAAAAAATAAAAATAAAAATAATATTTAATATTTTAAAAAATTTATTGAATAATTTTTTGAATAAAATTTTGAAAATAAAAACAAAACTGAAAAAAAATTCTAAAATGAAAAATAATTTTTAAAAAATAGAAAAATAGAGATTTATTTCGAAATATGCTATTTAAATTAATTATATATACATATCAAACTGCTGTCAAAGCTCGATAAATGAATAAAAAGTAATTTACAATTTGAAAAATAGTAGTTTTTAATATTTTCCGCATGACTTGAGATAAGTTATTTACATTTCGCAAAAACACAATAACCGTTTGAGAAGTTCAAACATTTACTGCCTAAAACGAACGAAATATTGAAAACAAATAGTATACCGCCTGAAAGTATGCCTAGTCGAGAAGAAAGCTCAGTAACTAGTGCAGCTAAGACACAAGCTTGAATGTTTATAGCTTTAACGAGCTTTTACTATTTTCTAAATACTTCATTAAGAAAAAACAAGAAAAATAAACGGATTGCAACAACTTGTGCTTCGTACAAGTGATCTAACCAGTTAGCGTCTGTGAACGTACCGATGTCAAGTCCAGCGGAGTTTGCTTATGTATCACAGCATGCGTCAGCGCTGCATGCGCCGCCATACTCAACGCAGTAGGTGACGCGGCAGAAGGCGGTGGTGTTGTAGACGTGCGGGAGTTTCCTTCCACATGCGCCAGTTGACGTTCATAGCTAGACCGCGCTGCCGCCAATCGTCGTTCGATTTCGCGTCCTTTCAATGACAAGTCTATGGGTTCGTCTTGTGCATCGCTGGCAGACGTACAATCCACTACTGTCACAGACGCTGCTGCTGCCGCGGCAGCAGTTGCCGCTTCGCTTAGGCGTTTGATTTCTTCCTTCAAAGCAGCGGGCATGAGGTGAGCAGGTGGACTGCCGGCAATATTGGTGGCGGAAAGTGGTGTGCCTGGTGGTGCAGCCAGCGGTGATATGTGCGGCGGTAGCGCGAAATGCACGAAAGGACTGCGTAGTGGTTCCGAGTGTGAGCGATAAATTTGCAGCAATTGTTGGTGGCGTCGCTCACGCGCCTCGGCCTCTTCTAAATCTTCGTACGCCAATGTAGCAAGATGTTGCGCTGAATTACAGTTGCGCTCCTGACGACCTGAAACGCTGCTGCGCGCATCGTCCGCTGCATCGCCGGCAGACGACGCGCCTGAATCGCTAGGTGTTTCGCTGAGGCGCGTCTCCGCCTTGCCGCCATAGCCGAATGCGGGTAAATGATGCAGGTGCTGGTGCTGCTGCGCGCTATATTGCAGTTGTTGTTGCGCCACCTGTTGTTGCTGCTGTTGTAATTGATGCTGCTGATGCGCGTGATGTCGCCCGCTATCCGCAACACCATTAAGAAATTTCGCCGCTGAGCTGAGTATATTATTTTGGGCTGGCGGCGGTTGTGGTGAGAATCTGCTATTCGCAGCGACGGTAGCTGCGGCCGCAGCGCTTAGTGCCAAAGCTGTTGGTGACATGCTGGCCGATTTTATGCAGGGATTCGTTTTATCTTGATATGTTTGACGCGCTTGCAGCTGATGTAAACGCGCCAACTGCTCGAAGCTAGCTCTATTGGCATTAGCTTCATTTATGCTGCCACCTCCACCTGGACCACCGCCGCCGCCGCCTGGCCCATTACCTGGCACACTTTGTTGCTCTTGCAGCAGACAGTGTATTTTAAACCAATTCGAACGTCGTCCGTAGCGTGAGCCGCTCTTCGACATGCCTACCAATAGGCACTTGCGCAGGCGACACGCTTTGCACGCCGTGCGATTCTTCTTGTTGATGACGCAATCGCCATTGTTTTTGCAGCCAGCAATGGCGGATATATTGTTGTAGGTGCGGCCGAAGAACGACTGAAACAAGGGGGGAACAATAATAGATATTAATATTAATTATGGAGTATTATAATATACTACAATATATACAAGTCTATTATGGTTCTTTAGTTGAAATCTCAGAAAATATCGTATTTTAGAAAAAAGATCCTTAACGCGTTCGCTTCGAAGCAACCAGTTTAGTTAACTTAGTTAGAAAATCAACTCGGAAGAATATCCTTACTAAAAAGAAAATTTGTGTGACAGCTTGATGACTGTATGTATGTGGAACCTGTTCTGGATGGAAGGAGCCTGCAGAAGAGTTCAATCGGAAATTATCCTTTAATATGTTCTGTTCTGGTAGAAAGCTCTTTCAAGAAGGAGCACTGCTTTTAAGGGGATGGTTGAGGTTGCAATTCGAATCTGAGAGGTGGTTAAGTACAGAATTAAATGAGTCGCTAAAGGTAGCAGATTTGAGTAAAAACTCTCTTAAACGATATGAATTGTTGCGAGAATGAATCTGCCATATTCTCATATATTCTTTTCAAGTATAGAAGTTAATATCGGAAGCAACTTTCCGTCAAGTCGGAACCCTTTCTTCGAGCAATTACAAGTTTGTGAAGAAAAATCAGCTTTGATGAGAGAATTGGTTCTCTTCATATCATTATTTAGATAAATTATGTTTGAAAAAAGTCTCGAACTGACCCTTTTTGGTGAGAGAAATTTCTAGGAAAAGGGATGGCCCGTCAAAACATAGGGATTAGCTTAGTAATCTGTAGTATGGTTATAATTTTAAGATGACCCGTGTATAAAGATGACTTAATCAAAAAAGAATAAGCCCTTTACCGAAAGGGTTTCCACGAATTCTGATTAATAAGCAAATAAATAAGGTCTGAAACTTGATTTTCGATGAATGTAATTTCGATTATTGCTCTTTGAGTAATATATGGTTTGTGAGGGCTCATAGGCCTTAAACAATTTTTGTATAACTGATAAACATTTGCATTCCTCTCGCTCTTGGTCTTTCTGATTTAATTTACTCCCGACTCTCTCTCTCTCTCTCTCTCTCTCTGCTTCTATTTTCACCTTTCAGAGCTTCTTTGGTTAACCACTAAGTGATCTCATCAAAAATCAGCTAGGTTAGCTAGCCGAGCTCGTATCAAATTCCATTTCGCTTAACTTAACTTCAACTATTTTACAATTTATGCTTCAGTGCCAGTACATTTGCAAGTAATGCCAAACAAAAGACCTAAGCAACAAACTTGACACAAATCTCATTCCTACGAAACGCACAGAAAAAGTCAGTAGCAAATAATGTGCATATCTTTCAAAGCTTTTACATTAATGGCGAATTAATTAACACCTTTCAGCGTCGAGTTGACAAGAAAATTACACACCTGCAGATGCTGGTGTGTATGTGTGTGTATGAATATGAGTATGTGGACAAACCTTCTTTGCTCTTTTTAAGCAACTATTAATTTTCACTCAAATGGAGTAAAATAGCCGGCTTGTGCTGCGAAAATGGGGCACACTGAAATACATACGTACAGTTATTTCTTTATTTAAAGCACAGTGTTGAGTTTCAAAGCCACGCCAAGGCTGCTGCAGAGCAAATTTCTACAAACATTTATTTGTATATAAAATATGAGCGTAATAATGGTAGCAAGTGTACAAGCTACAATTACTGTTATGTGCATTATACTTTTCATTTTGTTGTTATGCAAGCTAATGTTGCACATTAGTAGTAAGTGTAGTATTTGTGAAATGGTAGGGGATATTCCTTTCTGGTTCATTTGGTCAGCCGGGCTGATGGACTTTTAAGTGTGGCTTTTGTTTGCCGCTGAACTAATTACACACATTTGTAAATGCACAGTTGAGCAGATATGCTTACATACATCTGTGTATGAGTATGTATATTATTTTTATTGCGCTTAATGCTGAGCCAATTATGTGTGAAGTAACGGTAATTATAATTAAATGGAAAAGATTGTGGAAAAAGAAAAAAAAAATAATACTTGCGCAACAAAGAAAAAAATTATTATTATATACAAAATAGAATACAATATGAAATAAAATAATCGATTTAAAAAAAATTAAAATAAAAAATTATATATAACAAAATAAATAAAACAAGAATAAAAAAATAACAAAAACTAAAAAATGAAAAAGTGGGTAAAATAAAAAATTTAGTTAAAAAAAATAAAATAAAATAGAGTGAAAAGAATATAAAGTTATTGAAATAAAATTAAATACCTCAGAAAATATTTAATCATATATAATAACGAGTAAAGAAATTAATTATTTTAATTTAAAAAAAAAATAAATCAAATAATATTAAATTTAATAAAGTAAAAAAAAAAAAATTCCATAAAATTAAATAAAATCAAATAAAAATCTATAAAAATAAAAATTTTAAAAATTAGTTTTATTTATTGTTGATGCGCACACATTTTTTTCATTACTTGAATTTATTTTTAAATTAAGAAATTTTTTTTTTATTAATTTTAATTTTTTTTATTTAAACTTTATTTTAATTTATAATTTAAAATTTTTTCTTATACTTAAGTTTCTTGCTAATGACGTGTTTTTTTGCTATAAAATAGCTTAAATGAAAAATTATCTATTTCCATTTAACAGTCGTCCCAGCTAACACACATACTTATTCTTACCAAATTTGGCACAGCTGCTAAGATTAATGCAGCTATAAAAGATCATTTTATTTTCGGCCAAAATTAATAATATCGAAAATCGTAATCTTCGAAATTAATTTAGAATGCAAATGTCACTATTATGACATTTTAATAACGGCAGCTCCGGTAAGCTGGAAAATATACTAAATTAAGCTACTGTGCTAGAAGCCAGCAGTCAGTGCCAAGATTAGTGCAATAGCAACAACAAGCAGTGACAAACGCGATGCGCAGCTTCAAAGTGGTGAAGAGTGCAGCAAAGCCGATGGCAAAGGCACGAAGTACATTAAAAAGAACAGAAACAAAAGAATATCATAATGAAGAAGCTTCAAACTTAAAAATACAACAAAAA